TGGTATTTTGTGGAAGAGCCACACTCAAGGGGCCAAAGAGCCGCATGTGGCTCTCGAGCCGCAGTTTGCCGACCACGGGTCTAGGCTGTTGTACTACAATAGCAGAGCCGAGTGGTTGCCAGAGACTGAAAGGACTGGGAGCCTCAAACATTTACTACCTGGCCCCCTTTATGGAGAAAATGCGTGGAGCCTTACCCTAGGCAGTCTGGCCCCAGAATCTGGGCTCCTGACCTTCACACTGTCCTGCAGTATGTGAAGGTTAAAAGAGCGGCACCGTGGAGGGAGTCATGACTCCCAGGTATAGAATGCCAACGTGCAATCTGTGGGTTTGCAAGGGTGCAGGTGCCTCTGCAGAGAGCATGCTCAGACGGTAAATAACAGTCCCCAAGGGACAGGTGAGGGGGCGGGGGCTGTGCTCCGGGGCATGTTGACAGTAAAGCCCAGCTGTGACTAGGGAACAGAGGGTCCCCTGGGGCTCTAGAGTGATTCTGCCTGCATCTCAGAAGCTGCCCCGGGCAGTCCTTTATTGGGTTAGGAGGCTCAGATTTGAGGAGGGGAAAGGCCATTACAGTGCATTGGGTAAGAGCGCCTTTTCCCATGTCTCTAGAGGCCATCCTTGGGTTATTGACAGGGTGTGGCGTCGCTGAGGATGTGCCTCCCAGACCTTCAGTGACCTTCAATGCAGGGGCCCAACTGGCCAAGAGCCCCAGCAGCTGCTCTTTGAGTGACATCCACCGACACCAACATGACCACCTGCGCTGGCCTTGCCCGAGAATGCCTGTGCGACCCGGGACCCGTCCATGCCACCTCCTCCCCTCTCCTTCACTTGGGGTCAGACTTGTTTTGACGGCTGATGGTTCTCCCCGACTTATCTGACTCCCTTCCCATTTTCTCTCACCCAGGTCTTTCCCCGAATAAAAATTCTTGTTCGTTCAATCTTGTAGTTTATGCTCTTTGGAAAGAAATAAAAATACAGTTACATCCAATTCTACTTTAAATAATCCTATTGCCTGACCGGCGTGGCTAGGGGTTGAACATCAACCTATGAACCAGGAGGTCACAGTTCGATTCCCAGTCAGGGCACATGCCCGGGTTACGGGCTCGGTCCCCAGTGTGGGGCGTGCAGGAGGCAGCCGATCAATGATTCTCTCTCATCATTGATGTTTCTCTCTTTCTCTCTCCGTCTCCCTTCTGCTCTGAAATTAATAAAAATATATTTAAAATATATTTTTTAAATCCTGTGGAAGCAGAGCAAGTTGTGGTTCCTCTTATTAGTCACACTTCCCATTAACTTAATAGTTTTAATCAAAGTTATACACGGACAGTTTAAAAAGTTAAATAATTCTGCACAACTTATGAGGAAAAGAATGCCCTTCTGTTCCACCCCTCCCATCGGTTTCCGGCTCCCCAGAGGCGTTTCTTCTGCTGTTTGCTTATCTGTCTCTAAGTCACATGCACGCCTTGCATGGCCCCTGCCTCTCGGACCACCATCCAATCCCCTCTCTGGCAGCAGAAGAAAGCTAAACCACCTTTGCTGGTGGCTTGCATACCAGGGGAGAGCCCCCACTGGGTGGGATTCCTACACCGCAAGGCTTGGCAGCAGCTGGAGCAGACGGGCCCTCGGTTTCTAAGCAAGGGCGGGAGCAGCTGTGTTCACTGGCTTCACCTTTCCACCAGAGCCCTCCTTTACCTTGAACCTTTACCGACAGCTGCTCTGCACCGGCAAAGGCTTAGCTGTGAAACGGCACTGTGAGGTTCCCCATTTCTTTTTCTTCTAAGCATCGGCTAAGAAGTTTCCACTGTGGTCCAAGAACTTTGAGATTCAATGAGGTCACTCTTGTCCTATCAGGGCTCAGAACCAGGCGAGATGGTGCCAATGGTTGGCAAACTCATTAGTCAACAGAGCCAAATATCAACAGTACTTCTTCAAAATAGACTTGCCCAGGCTGAAAACCGACTTCTGCGCATGGACCACGAAGTTTCAATCGCACTGTACGTGCACGCCACGTGGTATTTTGTGGAAGAGCCACACTCAAGGGGCCAAAGAGCCACATGTGGCTCTCGAGCCGCAGTTTGCCGACCGACCACTGGCTGGACTAACCCCGATGGACTTTCTGGGAACTAGAAACCAGCAATGTCTGTTCAAGACTGCCATCTGCTGGAAGTGTGCTGTAATACCAGACAACTCAGCCAGGCCCAGCAGGTGGAAGGCGCGCCCCGGGGTTGAGGGGGCCAGGACCCACCTTGCTGAGGACCAGCAGCTGCTGCTTCTCTTTCTCGCTGGTGGCCAGGGAGGCGAACTGCTGCAGCTGCAGGGGCGTGGGCGGCGTGGTGATGTCCAGGTAGTACTTGAAGGCCTGGAAGATGGTGCAGGGCGGGAGGCGGCGCTCATCCGTCCAGTTGCGGATGACTCCTGCGGAGGCAGTGGTGGTCGGGGAGGGTGGGGCAGGAGAGTGGGAGCTCTGAGGGCTTGGGTCCCAGTCAGGATGGGGCTGGGTGAGCCCAGCAACCCCTCGCCTCTCCACCTTCCATAGCCCACATCTACACCTCATGTGCGAGGAGCGTATTCAAAATCCATTGTAGGCAAACTAGTCCAAAAATTAAAAAGCAAGTATTCAAGTAGCATGAGACAGTCCCCAGGCATTCCACGCGGTGAGCCACCAACTGAGCGCGAGTCATGCCTGTCCTCTGGCGGGATCGGCCTCTCCCTCCTCTGAGCGGGAACCAGTGTTTACAATGACGAACGAGCTTAACACTGACCTAGTATATTCTATGTGGCAAGTCTTGGGCTCAGCACTTTATATTAACTCCCAGAATGCTTCTCATCTCCCAGACTCACAACCATCCTAGGTGGTACGTGCTATTACTCTCTCCCTTTTGCAGCTGAGATCAATGGGAGCCCAGAGAGTTTAAAGAATTTGTCCAGGGTCACACAGCTCGTAAGTGTGAAGTCAGCAGTCTGTCTTGTAACTATCACACCGAACTGCTTCTGTGTACTTTTCATTCACTATAACCCCCAAACACAAGCCTCTCCTTCAGCAGGGACTCAACCCAAGAGAAACAGGCGCAGTTCCAACACTAAAACCGGCCGCGTGGGACTGGTTCCGAGGTGTGTCTCTCCAAGTGGTGCCCTCCCAGGGCCGTGGTCGGCAAACTGCGGCTCGCGAGCCACATGGGGCTCTTTGGCCCCTTGAGTGTGGCTCTTCCTAAGCCTTAGGAGCACCCTAATTAAGTTAATAACAATGTACCTACCTATATAGTTTAAGTTTAAAAAATTTGGCTCTCAAAAGAAATTTCAGTCGTTTTACTGTTGATATTTGGCTCTGCTGACTAATGAGTTTGCCGACCACTGTCCTAGGGGATCTGCAACAGGCCTGTGCCTACATGCTGTGCTCACGTTCTGCCCTGACTGTACCCTGAGCTCCTCTGTAGTGGCGACACGCCACTCACTGTATCACAGGCGGCCCGGCCCGCAAGGCCACTGCCGCTCCTGTCCTGAGCCCTGCGCTCACCTGCACCTACTGAGATGAAGCACTGACCCCCCTGCCTTTGCAGGTTCTTCAGTGGGAACGTCAAGAACGGCTGAGGAAGCAGGTGGGGACGTGAACAATGAGGTCTGATACGTGGCCTCATGCCTGGTGGGCGTGGGGCTGCATACAGTGCCTTTGGACCCTCAGAGGAGGCAGGGTCAGATTCCAGCTGCCGTTTACTCTGTGGGCACTGGGGCGGCGGTGACACAAAAGGAAGCAGAGTGAGGGGCCCAGCTCCAATCAGTCTCCCCATCGGTGTCCGGGCATCACAGACAACAGAGGGCCAGCTGGGCCAAGGTTGTTCAGCCAAGAGAAATGGGGAGTGAGTGTTCCGTCTCCTAAGCTGGAGGCAACAGAGACCCACCCTCCTACCTGGGTTGGTGACTGGGACCAAGAAGGGGTCTCCTCTTCCCCGGACGCCCACTGCCTCTGGGACTCCCTGAGAAGGGGAGGGCCTAGGAGGGGGCGGGTGGGGTGCCCGGGTGGCCATCCTTACCCAGAGCCGTGCTCCGCTCTTCCAGCAGCTCCACTTTCACCAGCTGGTTGATAGGGGGCGCGTCCTCCAGCCGCTCGATCAGGGCATTCACCAGGTCCTCCTGGTTGCCAGGGAAGACGCCCAGGTGGTCCCCAGGCTGGTACTGCAGCTCCTGATGCCCATTGGTGTGGAGACGCACGAAGATGGTTGACCGGCTGGAGGGAAGGACCGGAGACAATGAGCTAAGGCATCACCAGCCACTGCCCCCTTTCTTTGCTCCTTTGGGGGTCCCGTGGCTGCAGTTTCCCTCCTTCCATTCTCCTTGGGGCCCAGGCCAGCCAGACTCTGTCCCCCTCGTTTCCACACCCCGGTGTTAAGCAGGGTCACCTGTGAACTGGCGAATCCAACAGCCAGTTCTAGCGCTCACGCTGGTCAGGGCACAGCACAAAGCACAGCCCCTCTGTCTTCCTTCTCGCGGGTCCTGGAATCCCCTCTGGCTGCCCTCGCTCAGTCTCCTTGGCTGGTTCCTTCTCATCTCCCCTTGGCACTCCCAGGGCTCAGTCCTCAGATCCCTTTGTTTTTCTATCTCCTGCCCCAGCTTTTCTCTTCTCCATCGCAGTGGCCATCCCCTGACCCACAGTAGCATTTACTTTGTTATCCAGTCTGTGGCCTGTCCCCCTGCCCATCCTCTGGCCCCCACAACACCATAAACTCTAGAGGACAGGGGGTTGGTGTGTCTGTTTTGTTCAGGGCTCTATTCCTGGCACCTAGGACAGTGCATGGCACATAGTAGGTGCTCAAGAAATATTTTGTTGGTTGAAGGGCACCTCAGTCTCCCAGCTGCCAGGACAAGCTTTGGCTCAGTAGCAATGGGGGGTCTTCTCGACACCTGGAGTGAAGGCAGTGGTGTCCCCCCAGAATCCTAAACTTCACACCTTTTGCAACTGGACGTCCTCACATTGCCATGGAAAAGGGAAAAGGACCTGGCCTGAAGCTGGGGTTGTTGTTAAACACATATCCACCCGATGCTATAAACATGGAGAGATCTAAGGAGAAACCCAGAGAGAACCTCGTTCCCACCTGCCGGGCGCCCCTTCTCATGGACTCTTGTATGTCCAGTGCAGGGAGGCCTGTACCAGGGGAATGGGGGCCTCAGGAAAGACTTCTCAGACTTCGGTTATTCTGGTTGGTGTCAAGTTTTAGTACAGACACTACGTTTTACACAATATTTGAAAGCCTGGGGATTGATCACACGCTGGCCTATCAAATCCCTCATACACCTCGGGTTATGGTCACATTTCAGCTCTGCTTCCTCTTCTTTGACAACTGGTTTTCAGTTGATAGAGAACTTGACATTCAACAGGAAGTTTCCATCCTCCCTTGAATAATCATCACTTGAGTAAACCAATGGGGCTTGCTATTTAAAGGAGCTTTTGGCAGAACCAGAGCCCTTTTGTGCTGCAAATAGCCGCCATTATTAAAAATAGCTGTGCTGGCACGCTTGCTCTTTTGGGTGTCAAGTATTTTTTTTGAAGAGGGGAATTTGGCGACTGAAATTGTGAATGGCGGTGTGAGGGCCTGGGTCCCACTCCCCACCCCTGGGCAGATTTTGCCTTCTCTGGGGCACTGGTTTTACGCACAATTGATCCTGCTTTGAGCTCACACCCATCTTGGTTCCCAGAGCCAAGACTTTACCCACTGCTAGCTCCAGGGAGGGAATTAGCAGGGACTGACGGCCAGCAGGTGGCGCTGTGGGGCTGCTAATTTGGGAGCCTCCTGAGAACCACAGGAACCCTTTGAAAGGCCTGCGAATCAATTCCACTTTCTCCCAGATCATCACGATTTCTTTCAGAAGTGTATTTGCCTCTGTTCTTTTGGCTGGAACAAAATACAAATGCAGAGGACACGAACTTGCTGAGCTGGCTCACGTTCACAGCCACTGGCCCCAAGTCCTCTTGAACGTAGCAGAAGGTGGCCAGGCAGATAAGGGGCAGGATGGGGGTGGAGCTGGCAGGGGAGCTAGGAGGCCGGCCGGCTGAGGCTCTGACTGGGCTGGGCTTGCTGACAACCCCAGCACAGAATGTCCACATGGTCCCAGGGCACCTTGATGGGCTGGGTCCTTGAAGCTTCGCAGGAAGCTGACCCTGGTGGGTAACCGAATGTCTGGAGACCGAATGTCTTCAATCTCAGTCCTGCTCCTTGAAGCTTCGCAGGAAGCTGACCCTGGTGGGTAATATTAGCCTGGTGACCGAATGTATTCAATCTCAGTCCTGTTGGAGGTTTCTAAGTGTAGGATTTTCTAGGCCTTCTTAAAAAAACACACCTTGGGGCACTTATGGACCTTTGAAAAGTATTAGGGGAGAAAGAAGGGAAGTATTGGGGAGGTAGCAGCCATTTTGGCCTTCACCTCCTCCCCCAGAGTAGCCCCTGCCTGTGCTGTATTTATATCCACACACAGAAGCATAACACACACACACACACACACACACACACCCGCGTGCATGTGCTTGGCAGTGGTTCAATGCCAGGTTCCCAGATAAAACAATAGTCTGCTAATGCCCAGCATTAAATGAAAAAAAAAAACACCAACTACTATTACATTTTTCAAGAAAAGGGTAAACACTGTCTGTCAAGAGCAGTTTGAGTTAATAGGTTCATTCCACAAATTTATACTGAGTGTCAGGCACTGTACTAGGCACTGGGGAGCCAGTGGCAGATACTGCTAATTCCCTCCCTGGAGCTAGCACAAAGTACCCTGACTTCATTGGGAGGTGACTTAAAAAGATCTCAGATGGAGTTGCTGATGTGGATGGTGGGTGGTGATGGGTTGGGGGCAGTGGGCTGAGGCCACCAGATAAGAGTGGTCAGGGAGGCCTCGCTGGAGATTTGACATTGGAGCAGAGACCTGAACAATGAGAAGGGGTAGACATGCAAAGATGTAGGGGGAGAGTGTTTCCGAGAGGAGGAGCAGCACGTGCCAAGGCCCTGAGGTAGGAAATAGTGTGGCCGAGGAAGGGAAAGGAGGCTGGAGCGTTTGGAGAGTGATGGAGACAGGCTGCGTGGTGGAGGAGGAGGTCAGGGAGCTGGGCGGAGGTCACGACCTGCCACCACAAGGAGACCAGAGGTTTCGTACGTTCAGTGGGTGTGCAGCTGTGGAGGGATAGGTGTCAGTGTGCATTTGGAAAAGATTCCTCTGGCTGCTGTTTGGAGATTGGATCTTTGAGGGAAAAGCCAAGAAACAAAGAGACAGGGTAGGTGCCTACTGCAGCCACTCAGACCAGAGGTCATCATGGCTTGGCTCAAGGTGGCACCTGGGACCCGGATGTGCAGTGTGAGAGGAGGTGAGGAGACTGGAGTTTTGGCTTCAGCCAAATGTTGATGTTTTCTGTTGCTATGGTGAAGGCTGGAGAGAGGCAATGTATCCGAGGGGACATGGAAATCAAGAGCTCAACCATCTGAGCGTTGACCCTTGAACCAAGAGGTCACTGGTTCGATTCCTGGTCAGGGCACATGCCGGGTGTTGTGGGCTCGATCCTCAGCAGGGGGTGTGTAGGAGGAGGCAGCCAATCAATGTATCTCATTGATGTTTCTACTTCTCTATCCCTCTCCCTTCCTCTCTCTCTAAAATCAATAAAAACACATTTTAAAAAAGCAGTTATATGAAAAATAACTGGAATTGATTCAACCATCAAGACCTCTCCTTTGTATGGTCCCGCCAGTCTCTAAGGCCGCCAAGTGCTCAGGCCCTTGTGTACCTTAGTTCTCTTCTGCCAGGTCCCTCCGCCGCTCTCACCAGCCTGGCTCAGCCCGTCCTGCATTTCCCTCCTCCTCCTGCTCCAGGACGCCCAGGCACACCCCGCCCATTAGTGCTCCCCTATACACTCTTCTGCACTGTTTGCTAATTGGTGCTCAGACATTAGAAAATGCGTTTTCTGGCCAGGCAGTAACTGCGACCACTTTTCTCTTTAGATTTGCCAGGACCACCCTTGAAAGGCTGTTTACTTCCTCTTAAGCACTTTGCTTGCAATTAAGGGTCTCCGGTGGGGTGACTGCTGATAGCTTGCTTATGGTCTCCTGGGTCCAACAGCCCGACTTGGGCCTTGGGCCGGGAAAAACAGGAGAGAGTCATGCTTTTTCACTCAATTAACCCTTCAAAAAACCTTATAAAGCTGGAACTCATAGTAAGCCCCCAAACAGGTAGTGATACAGAACATGCTTTTAAAGAGATAAACCCTCGACACAGTTTGATCCTTTTGTGCGAATCCACGCTGCCTTCCCGCTCCTGACCTTGTTGAAATGCTCCTGGAGCAGCCACTTGGCATGGAGGCAGCTGCCCTTTGCAGAGGTGGGAGGGCAGTTATTCTGAGATTTCGGTCCAACTTGGCATCAGAACATTTGCCAATTAACTTGCTTGTTAGGTGCTATGGTATAGGGAGTGATTTTTATGATCTGGTCTTTTCTAGTAGGTTCTTAAGTCCCTTCTCTTATAATGCTGCTTAAGTCACACCTTTGCACAGGACAGAAAGGGGAAGTAAGATGTGCAGTATTTCAAATGCAGAGTCCTTCTCTAGATCGGAGAGTGTTACGTTGTGCATATTGCATTTAACTAGCTATTCAGAAGGACCAATTTCCCAATCCATTTCTTTAATGTTTGAAGATCTAAGAGAGAACATGAGAGGCCTGGGGTTCCATCCTGTTGGTCAAAGTCTTGAAGTCCACGTAAGAAAGCAGGCACACTAACTTTGCAGGTGCATGAAGCTGGGATGGATGCAGACTAGCCATGGGAAAGGAGGATATAACTGTTGCTCTATGTACGTGTCTATAATATAGCAGCCTTGCAATGCGGTGGAGGCCATATGGATAGGCATTCAGTGTCTTGACCTTGGAGTTAGAGAAACCAAGTCTGTGTGACCTTGAAAAAGTCACTTGCATTTCTAATGGTCATTTCTCCTATTGAAAATGTGGATGATGATGGTACTTCCTTCCTGAGCTGGTCAGAATTATGGGAGATCCTGCAGAGAATGGATCAGAATGGTGCGTGGAGCACAAAGTACTAGATACATGTCAGCTATCCTTGTCGTCCTCACTGTCATCTGAGATAAGGAGACAGGGGCTCCGAGGACCCGAAGGCCTTGCCCACCGTCACACAGCTGCTGCATGGCAGAGCTGGGGTCACCAGCCAGGGCTGTCCAGCTCGGAGGCCACTCTTTGTCCTATGCCATGCACGCAAAGAATCGAGATTTAAAAAGATCTTCATGTGCTATAACTGCAAAGTGAAAAGGATTCCAGTCGTTGGGGATCAATGCAAAGATATTCACGTGTGCTAAGAAGTTTACTTACGCGAGTGGAGGGATGGACAGACCTGGACGGATCATTCTGAAAAGATCGGAAAGCTAAGTCGCCCTGGCCAGGTGGCTCCGGTGGTTGGAGCATAGGCCTGTACACCAAAAGGTTGTGGGTTTGATTCCCGGTCAAGGCAACTGATTGATGTTTGTCTCTCACATTGATGTTTTTCTCTCCCCCTGCCCCCTAAAAATCAATAAAAACATACCCTCGGGTGAGGATTAAAAAGTAAAGACTTGATAGCTAAGAGCAGCAAATCCCTAAGCTTACGCGGGAGCTCAGCATGGCTGCTAGAACGAGTCCTGCAACCTCGGCGCCTCGGGCGTCGTGTTCCCAGCAGGGATGGTAACAATAGCCTCAGCGCACTTGGCAGTGGTCACAGGACCTGCACTGCACTGTGACCAGGTCTGGAACGACACTTCCAGCAGGACAGAGTGTGTCCTTCTACTAAAGCAAAAGGCATGGGAAACCAGGTCTTAGGAAGAGCAATTGGAAGGAATCCAGGCCCAGGAGAGATTGGTCAAGGTCTTGACTCTTTGCAGGTGTTTCATCTGGAAGAAGCAAACATTTTTGTAGGTGTCCCCGGAGGGTGTCACTGGGATCAAAATGAAGTGCTAGGGAGAGATGCTTTGTTCTAAGCTACAGTAAGGCGATTCCTAACACTCAGGACTTCAAACACACAGTGGCTGTTTTGTGCAGTAATGAGCCTCCCGTCATTCCAAAAGCCGGTAAGCAGGACTCTAGAGAAGCCTTACCCACCAGGAGACAATGCCTGGACTAAGTGATTTTGACTGAGATGCTATGGCACAATTAGCAGTTCTGCAAGGGAGAGGTCTACATGGCAAACTTCTCATAGAACCGTTCTCTTTCCACAGTGATCATCACCACCTCCTTCTCCTGTCCCTCCAGGTGGGAGCTCGGAAAGGAAAAGCAGGAAACCAACATGCTACAAAGCAGCAACGGGGTCTCCATGGCACTCGGGATGGTGACGGGAAACGGGTGTCTGGAGTCAGCAGGGACTTCCGCCTCCCTGTGGGGGCTTCTAGAGCAGCGGGCGGTACCTGGGTGAATAAGGTTCCCACCTGGATTTAGGGCTCTGAAGGTTTTGACGGCTGAGAAGACGAGCGGCTGAGACCCGCTTCTTGTGCACGTTGGATAGACCTGCGGGGAGAAAAACAAAGTCCTCCTGAAATGGGTTAAACAGTTGTCAGTAGAACATCTTCAGCTTCTACTGACCCTCTACTCACACTCCCACTGTCCTCTGGAGCAGCGGTCGCTAAATTTCGGGCCTCATGGACCACCAGTGGTTCGCGGGCCATCAGTGGTCGACCGCTGCTCTGGAGTAAAGTGAAGGGAAATGGAGGAAGAGGTCAGGCGGCAGTGGTTGGGGTGGGTGGGGTGGTTGTGGGAATGCAGGACACAGAGCAAGTCTGGTTGGACTGACTGAGAAGAGGACGGTTCGGGGTAACGCCCCATCCTCCGGGAGAGAGATGTCCATGCGCGTGCTTCACGGAGCGCGGGGCAGCAGCAGTGTCTTCATTGGGAAGACTGAACGAAAGGGACTAAGCGAGGACACCCACTTTCTCTCAGCACCTTCCCCATGTGACAGCTCCAGACTCTCCTTTGCTGCACCGTCCTGAGCGCCCACCCGGAGCCTGGTGAGAGGTACCTTGTGTAAGCTCTGGAGCTTCAGCCACATAGGTGAGGCGGAACTTGTTCCTCTTCCAGCTGCGGTCATTGCTGATGAGGGAGTTGTTCGCCTTCTCAATGTTGACATCATCTCCCACGCAGAACACGTCACAGGCTGTCTGTGGCACATACAGGGCTTTCAGTGGCCTCCGTCAGCCAAGAGGGACTCCTCTCCAACAGCTCTGAGTCATGGCATGTATCCCACCATCCAACCATCCATCCATCTACCCACCTGCCCACCCATCCCTCAACCCCTCCATCTATCAACCCCTCCAACTTCCACCCATCCACCCATGCACCCATCCACCTACCAGTCTGTTGGTCCATCCATCCATCCATCCATCCATCCACTAATCCATCCTATATTTTTTTGAGTGCCTTTGATGTGGTGGACATATCACATTTACTATTGTCTTTAGGACCTCACATCTATTTCGCATGTAACTCTCAGCACTTATTTATAAAACCAACATGTGTAGAGGTCTACTATTAAACAAGAAAGTAAACATTTTAGAATTTCCTATCCATCTTCCTCTACAGATTTTAAAAAGTTACATTAAAGGCAGAATATATTGAATGTCTGTATATACATTTATACAATATATTGAATGTCTGCACATACATTTATTTTTCATTTGCTAAGTTTAAAAGTTCTCTAACTCTAGTGATCCTAAGAATTACTGTTCAGAATTATTTTTAGAGATAAAAGCCATGGATAACTCCAAAGGTTCTCAAGGATAGCTTTTCACCAATTTTTGGGCTCGTGTTGATTTTTAGATGATTCAAATGTCCATCAACTGATGAATGGATAAACGAAATATGATATATCCATAGAATGGAATATTTGGCCATGAAAAGGAATGTTCCTTCATCGAGTGATCATGGTTAACATCTCTAAAATAAGTCATGTTGACCCCAGGGATCCTGGCATGATGTGATGAGGACACCTCTCTTCTGGGATATTCTTCCCCAAACCCATCACCTCACTCTAATCTTGAAAAAAAGATGAGACAAGGTCAAATTGAGGGACACGCTACAAAATGCCTCACCAGTACTCTTAGAGACTCTTAAGATCATGAAAGGGAAGACTGAGAAACACAGCTGAAGAGATGGAGATGTTTTGACAATGTGATATGGTACCCTGGATTTGATCTTGACACAGAAAAAGGGCATTGGTGGGAAAACGGGTGAAACCTGAAGAAAGCCTTTATCACTGTATCACTGTTCCTAGTTTTGACACGTGTACCATGAGTATGTTAACAGTGAGGCAAGGTGGGTGAAGGGAACTCTTTGTACATCCTTGTTACTTTTCTGTAATCTCAATGTACTATCAAATAAAAACTATTAAAGAAGAAAGGAATGAAGTACTGACACATGCTACAACATGGATGAACCTTGAGTATATTATGCTAAAGTGAAGGAAGCCAGGCATGACAGACCACATTCATATGAAATGTGCAGCACAGGCACATCCTTAGAGACAGGAAGCAGATTAGTGGTTGCCAGGGCTGGGGGTGGAGTGTGAGGATAGGGGGGTGATAGCTCAAGGACAGAGTGGCTTGTGACAGACCCTGCTTCTGGGATCCTCAAAGTTGGCCGGTTGAAGTCAACAACCACACCGTTATCTTGAGGTTTGAGAAAAGCCAAGTTATCTCCACTCTCCCCATCTAGGAGGAAAGCAGGAACAGGCTGATTGACAGCCTCCCCACACAGGTTTCTTTATAGCTCAGAGGCCTCAGTTTCCCGCTTGCTCTACACCTGCATTTGCTTTCAGAATGAAAAGTATCAATTGGATGACAGAAGGTTGTGTAGCCCCTTTTCTCCAGGGGCTGCTGGTAAGAAGGTTCTCCAGGGCCGAGGAAAGAGCAGGTAAAGGTGGGTCTATAGTTATTGCTTTTTTGTTCCCCCCCAGGGGCAACTAAATCATGCCCCACACGCAGATAGGAGGCCAGTAGTCCTTCATCCTCCTGTGGCCTCATGTCTAGAATAGGATGTCCTAGCAGGATGGAATGGCTCTGTGCTGTCTGACAGGGTGACCACCAGGAACTTGTGGTTTTTGAGCACACGAAACATGGCTGGTGCTACCGAGAAATGGACGTTTTAATCCAATTTAATGTATACATAGAAAATTAATATAGAATAACCTATTAATATAGAATGAATATATATAGAATGAGATAAATGAACTATATATAAATGAACTATATTTTATATAGTTATATATTCTCATAGAGAAGGGATAATTCATATAAAATTCACCATTTAAAAATGTGCAAGTCAGTGGTTTTTAGTATATTTACAAGGATGTGCCGCTGCCACTACCATCCACTTTCAGAACATTTTCGTGACCCCAAAGACACTCTGTACCATCATTAACAGTAACTTCCATTTCCGCTTTTTTCAAAATCTTGGCAACCACTAATCTACTTTCTGTCTCTACAGATTTGCCTATTCCAGACATTTCATATAAATGGAATCATATAATATGTGGCCTTCCGTGTCTGGCTTCTTTCACTGAGATCATGTTTTCAAGGTTCATCCATGTTGTAGCATGTGTCAGGACTTCATTCCTTTTTATGGCTGAAGAGTATTCTTTTGCATAAGCATACTGAATTTTTTTTTATCCATTCATCATATTTAGATTTAAATAGCCACATGTGGCTAGTGGCTCCCACAATGGCCAGTGAATATTTAGCACAAGAGGAATATGCTTCTCCAAGTAGACACGTTGGTGAGATCTGAGTTCCAGGTAAAGGCATGGCCCTTGGTCTAGTTAATCAATTCTATGTGTTTTGTCTACTTGTCGACCAAATGTGAGTGAGGGCTGGATTCCTCCCTGAAATTCCAAGACTCTGTAATTTCTTTTGTAGACCAACTCCTTAGCCACATGCAGGAGTTTGGGTTCAGGGTGGAGAATGTGTGTTGTAAGGTCACCCAAGCTCATCCGAGCTGTTTAAAGCTGCCTCCTGGGTGGATGCCTGGGGGAAGTACCCGGGGTTCTCTCAAGTTCCTTCTCTTTCCGATGGTTTAGGCCGTCTGTCTTTGGGGGCCAAGGGGAGCATGACCTTTCCCCCTGGCTCTCTGAGATCTGGGAGGATGTTTACCTTGAAGACCTTCTTGGCCCAGGTCCTGAACGCCTCCTCCTGACCACAGAGCTCATCCCCTTCCTTCATCTTCAGGATCCTCTCCCCTCCCAGCTCTTCCAGGAGGGTGTCCACAGCGTGGCCAAAGGCGCAGAAGTGCGGGTATGCCCTCGAGCCAAGGCCAAACACTGAGAACCTGCCAACGAGACAAGAGAAAGCTCAAGTGAGGTTGGGCTGAGGGGGTGCCTGGTGCTATGAATAGAACTATGCCTCCCCAAATTCATATGTTGAAGCCCTACCCGCAATGTAACTAATTGTATTTACAGATGGCGCCTCCAAGGTGGTAACTGAGATGAAATGAGGTCATAACGTGAGGGCCCTAATCTAATAGAACTGGTGTCCTCATTAGAAGAGGAAGAGAGAAAGATCAACCAAAGGTCTTGTATGCATAAGTGATGGAGGGTGAGGGCAGGATTGGGGGGATGAGGGGACATTGGGGGGATAAGGACACATTTGTAATATCTTATTCAATAAAGGGGAAAAAAAGAAGAGGAAGAGACACCTGAGTCTCCCTCTCTCTGCATGTGCACAGTGGAAAGGCCAGGTGAGGACACAGCAAGAAGGTGGCTGTCTGCAAGCCAGGAAGAGAGGCCTCACCAGAAACCAGTCCTACTAGCACCTTGATCTTGCACTTCCAGCTTCCACAACTGTGAGAAAATAAACTTCAAGTGTTGAAGCTACTTTGTCTGTGGTGTTTTGTTAAGGCCACCCAAGCAGACCAATACACCTGTTTTTTTTTTCTCCCAAAGGACTGTGGTTAGCCATGATGGTCAGGCAACCCCAAGCCTATTGGAGAAGGCTATCATTCAAATAGCTCCCTCCCCCGGGGGATTCTCCCTTCCTCTGGTATCTACTAGGCCAGTGTTTCTCAACCTTCTGTCCCTTTAAATGCAGTTCCTCATGTTGTGACCCAACCATAAAATTATTTTTGTTGCTACTTCATAACTGTAATGTTGCTACTGTTATGAATCATAATGTAAATATCTGATATGCAGGATGGTCTTAGGTGACCCCTGTGAAAGGGTCGTTCGACCGCTAAAGGGGTCGCGACCCACAGGTTGAGAACCATTGTACTAGGCAATACTGTCCTCAGGAGAAAATTCCCCATTTGTCCTAAGGACGATGAGTTGGGGGTAGTGATCATCCAGAATCATTGGCTGTTCCCTGTGTGTCCCTTTCTAAGTTGGACTAATTGGGAATATTTGTCTACATTATTGGGAAGCTTAAATTCTACAAGTTTTGTAATTCTACAAACGAGAGCAGTTTTAAGTACAAAGACAATGGGAATTATAACAGAGGTCCTCGGGGGCCTGTATCAATGAGGACTTGTCTCTGACACGTCACATGTGGGTGTGGACAGGCCCTTCTGAAAGGGGAGGAGGGGTTTGTGAATGTGCTGGCTCCGCCCCTTGCAATGTCTATGAAATTAATTGGTCTCACAGACCCTCCTTGCATAGCCACCACCAAGATGCTGCTCTCTGAATAGATGGGGGTCAAGTTAGTGAGATTTCGGTTGATGTGGAGATGGGGGCTGGCTGCTTTCAGACATGGGAAGTGGGGGGCTGGGCCTCAGGTGGCCCCTCTTCTTAGCTCAGTGTGTCCTACAGACACTTGATGTCACACTTCCAGGGCTTGGTCCCGGCTGTAGGTCTTGACCTCTTCGGGACTGGAGTGACAGGTTCCCAGCGGGACAAGCGCACCCCATCCCACTTCTTTCCCAGGTCGGAGAGTTCTGTTGCAGACCATCATGGCAGACATGCTAAGGAGTGGAGCTGTCTAACCTACTCCATCCAGGGTCTGGTGCTGTCCCCAAATCTCATTTTTAGGACAAGGGGTCCAAGATGGTGAGATAGGGGATCAGGGGCAGAGGCAGGAGACAGTGGGAATAAATGCCATCATGGAGAATGAACTTGAGATAGGTCCAGGTGTCTCACAGGTCAAATGAAAGTTATCCCCTCCTTTCCCATCTCACTCTCCTCTTTCCTGCCCTCCATTCCTCCTGGTTCCAGAGCCTTTCCATGAAAAGTGGATGAGAGCAGGCAGTGTTTTCCCCCATCCCTCCTTCACCTACGATCTTCCTGGACCTGGATTCCTCCCCCTTTCCTCGCAGGGCAGCAGCCTGGTGGGTAGAGAGCTGGTGACCAGGAGTGGACTGGTTGGAGGGCCGCCCTCAGCCTGAGCAGATCTGGGAACCCCCAGCACCAGCCTGCCGTGTGGTTAAGGTGTTGCTCCCCAAATCTGCAATATGAATGTTTGTGACGTCCACCGTACTTGACTGTCACCAACTCTGTTCCTCATTAGCGCTGTTTAACCTGCGTTTCGTTTGTGCTGACTAGCTCCTCCGGCCCACATGTGTTCACAGCAGATGGTCCAAGGGGTGAGTTCATGAATATGCTTCCCGATGCACCTGAAGACCTGCTTCATCGTCACTTCCCAGACTCACGTTTCCATCACCGTCTTCACCTCCTGGCTTCAGAGTTCCTATTTTAAGCCTCAACACCAGGAGTTGGCCAACTTATTGTACAGGGGGCCAGAGAGTAAATATTTTTAGGCGAAGAAACAAAACGGAAACGATTATATAGCTACTTCTATAACAAGAAAGAACAAATTCCCACACATTTTTTTTACTAACGAAGTTAAAAATGTGCTACTAATAATGATAATAATTATAGCTCAGTATAATTTTTTAGTAACATATGTCTACTCATGAGAATGTAATTCTTTTTCATGGGAGATAACATTTTGCTTAATTGGGGCTCAAAGGTAGTGTTTTTTTTTTTAAATCATTAAATGAATTGCAAGTGTTCAGGTGTGAAAACCACTCTGAGCTCATGGGTTGTACACAGACAGACAGTGGCCAGGCTGTATTGGGACCACGGCTGTCACTTGCCATCACCTGCTCTCAGCCATGGTGGATTTAATGAGGGAAAAATGGGTCTGACTGTCAAACTATGCAGCTGACATTTTAATGTCAAACTAAAAAAAATGTACAGATTTCAAAACCTATACAGAATGGACAGCACCAAGGGGGAGCCCTACTGTAAACCCTGGACTCGGTGAGATCATGACGTGTCAATGCAGGTTCATCAACTGTACAAATGTACCCTCTGGTGGGAATGCTGATGGCGGAGGAGGCTGTGTATGTATGTGTTGTGGGGCAGAAAGTATATGGGGAGTCTCTGTACGCTCCCCTGAATTTTTCTATGAACCTACGACTGCTTTTTAAAAAAATGAAGTCTTTTAAAGAGTGGACTGATGGCCACAATGCTTCACTATCGAGGAGCCCTGTGATCTGAGGCATCTGCTGAGCACTGCTCTGAGCATCTGTGAAGAAGGTTCAGTTAGCGGCCGGGTTTAGTTAGAGATTCCTGGCCAGGCCTGGATACTCTGCTTCTATCAGCCTCGTCTTGACCGATAATCTGTGAAACCAAGGGTTTGGCATGACATCCAGTTTTCTTTCTTTCCAAATACCCATTAAACTGAAGACACAACTATTGAAGTACAACATATATGTCCATGTACTACCCAAAGTTACCTCCTGGCATGTGATGATGCTTTTGAAAATAACGGAGTTAGGCCAGTGTCTTTGAATCTGACTACACATTGGAGTCCATTGGGGAAATATTTTCTCAGTTTTTAAACATTTATTGATTTGAGAGAGAGAGAGAGCGATTTGTTGTTCCACTTATTGATGTATTCATTGGTTAATTCTTGTATGTGTCCTGACTGGGGATTGAACCCACAATCCTGGTGTATTGGATGACACTAAACAATAGACATACCCGGCCGGGGGAGGGAGAAGTAGGCTTTTTTTTTTGAAAAGCAATGCTTGGTCCCAATCGTAGGCTGATCACACCAGAATCTCTGGAGGTGGGCGTGGTTATGGGTGCACTGTAAACATCTCCAGGTGCTTTTAATGCACGACCAGCTTTGAGGACCACTGGGTTATGGCAGTTTGTCTCCAGAAGCTTCTATCAAGTGTGCAGCATATCACTTGGGAAGGACAGCTCATTGCGTAATTTCTAGGGGTCAACGTTCTCCATCACCAGTGACGTGCTGATGAGGGGGTGAAATGTGTGTGATTGGGTAAAAGGTGTGTGATGGGGTGAAAGGTGGGTGATGGGGTGAAAGGTGTGTGATGGGGTGAAAGATGGGTGATGGGGTGAAAGGTGGGTGATGGGGAAAAACGGGATTGTGGGGGCAATGAGGCTGTGCATTTACGAAGAGGAGTCAGGTGCAGCCAGGGTGCAACTGGTTGTTCCAGGGATGAAGAGGCGTGGAAGGAAGACACCCCCACAGCAAAGAGCCCACTTTGCAGCTGAGTCCAGCTCCCCAAGAGCCTTTGTCATCCCTGATGCCCGAGCCCCTTGCTCACCTCACATTTGCCAGGGGGCCGGTGCTCTCAAAGTTGTCTCTGTGGTTCGGCCCATTGCCTGATGATTTGTGGAAATCGGAATAGGAGGAAACACTATTGAACCTGACCTTGTAGCTCCTGCAAAAAGGAGAGAGAGTCATGAGCTCTGGCTTGAGCCCTCGCCTGAGGTCACCGCCCTGGATCTTCAAAAGACCAGTCCTGGTTCTAGGACCCTCTCACGTGTGATGAGTGAGACCACAGCATCCTAAGGCCTCCTCCACAATGGATCAACTTACCCTCGCCCACCACCGTGCCAGCCAGCCACCTGTCCTTGATGCCATGTGTATTAAAGGGTTTCTTTCTGACCACACTCAGATCAGGAAATTGAAAGCCGGACAGTCAAAATGATTGACTAGGCAAGAAGGCAGGAAGGAGTAGAACAGACCACCCCTAACCATTAGACCATGCTTCCTTGCTACCCAAATTGTAACGTGCGTAAGGATCAGCCTGGGACTGGGTTAGGCAGATCCTGATTCTGAAGATTTGGGGCCGGGCCTGAGAGTCTGCATTTCTAATAAACTCCCAGGAGATGCCGATGCCGTTGGTCCCCAGACCTCACTTTGCGTAGCCTGGACCTGGACTTGTACTGTCCACTGTGGTGGCCATTGGCTACCTGTGGCTATTTGAACGTAAAGCCAAATTAATTCACACGAAATACAACGAAAAATTCCGTTTCTCACTTGCACTAGCCACACGTCAGTTGCTCACTGACGTTCAGGTGTACACAGGGGCCTGTATCAATGAGAAGATGACAATTCTCAAGGAGTGTCAACAACCACGTGCGGCAGAAATACAGACCACGTTCGTCACCCTGGGAAGTTTGATTGGACGCGGCTCTTTCTGTCAAGATGTGGTCCTTAGACATTTCCGGGGTCTGTCACCTCCCACCTTCCACGTCAGCATGGAAAGTGCTCAGCACTGACATGTGGCAGGAGAGGAGACTGGCTTTCTCATTAACGTGTTTTGAAGGGGAAGGAAGATGTCACCGGGACTCAAACCTCAGCACTAGAGGCTCAGGAGCCTGAAGCCTCAAGAAAACACACACACCTGGTTTTCCAGTTTTTCTCTAAAAGTAAGTTTTGACCTCAGACAGGGCAGAAACAAAACAAAACAAAAAATGTCTCCAAGATAACCCCCCCAAAACAAAACCAAACCAAGAAATCCAAACCTCCAAACAGAAGAAACAAAGCAAAGCGAAACACAAAAACTCAAGACATCAATCTGAGTGCAAGAGACAAAAAAAGAAACTGCGCATTCTGGCAGCAGGATCCTAAGCGGGATCCTCAGTTCTTGCTCCAGGATCGGGAAAGGTCTAAATACACGTAAGCGTCGTTTCTGCCCTAAAATAGTCACACATGGAGTCACTTCTCCAAATAAGGCATGCGACACACCAGGGGGTGGCCGTGGTGTTAGTGGGAGGGATGGTTTCTCCAAATAAGGCATGCGACACACCAGGGGGTGGCCATGGGAGGGATGGGGGGTGGTTGTGGGGTGAGAATAGCAGCGCGTGTTTCTGTATGAGGTTTACGGTGTCCCAAATGCTTTCCTCTCTGTTGTTATCCTTTGACCCGCACAACAGCCAGCTCCCAGGCGTAGTCAGGACAGAGAGAGCTTCTCCCCATTTGGTGGATGAGAAAGACTGAGGCCCAGAGAGGTCAAGGGACCGGCTCCAGGTCAATTAATGAGTTAGTGGCACAGCCTGGGTTAGAACCTCAGGTTTCCTTGGCACCTGGATGTGGCCTTGGAGGTTTGAGCGTCGGGCATGCATGTGCACGCGTGCAGACACACATCTCCCTGCACACAGGCATGCACACGGGTGCATGTATGCACACGCACACCCGCTCTACCTGTGCTGGCTGTCACGGGCTGCAGCCAGACCACGGACTTCTGTGTCACCTCGGGGGAGGGGAGGCCCTTTACGGGAAAAGAAACGCAAGGGTTCCGGGTACCTAGAGGGGAGAATGGATGGTGCCCTATCTCTCCCTGAAGGAGGGGACCTGCTGGAGACCACCCAGGCTGGCATGGGCAGGAGCGGGGCAGGGACAGTGAGTGCTGGAGTTGGGCACAGAACGAGGGCTGAGTGCAAGGGACTCAGCCACCCCCTGGATACAGAAGGCATGCGAGTTTGGCAACACGTGCTCGGCTGCAAGAAAACCAGGAGAGATTTTCTGTGAACCACGGCCAGCGGCGGCATTTGGTGCCCAACGGCAGACATGGGGTCTGCTCTGAGCTGGAGGCGGCGCTGTGCTGGCCTCACTGAAAGGCAGCTCCCTCTGCACCTGCCATATGTTCTCCACTTTGTGGGCGACTTAAGGGCTTTTCAAGGGTAATGCTGATTGCAGGTGTTTCTCAGATCACGGGATCTCTTTAGAACCCAGCCCCACGTTGGATGCGCTTTCACTCGAACATCGTTTGACCGCAGGCCACTCTCTGCCTTCTTTTGAATGCCACCCCCACCCGAGCTGCAGCGCCACCCTGAGCATCAGGCGGCACAGTGCCAGGGAAAGCAGCGCATTTCACTGATTCCGCAGGTCGGGTCCCGGGGGCGGGAGAGAACTGGCGTTTGCACAGGGCTCCCAGTTTCTCACAGGGCACGAGTCTTACAAATTGGAGAGCTCAGGCAGGTGCAATAAACCCTATTTGATAGGAAAAGAAACCGAGGCGCAGGGCTGTGAAGTGACCAACCCAAGACCCTCTAATTAGAGACCAGAGCATCCAGCGGCTGAAATCGGCCACAGCTGGACTGTCGGTCACAACCGCCATCCACCCAGACCTCAAACGTGAACCCCAGGTGCCAAAAGACAATTTCCAGTCACCCCCAGGGGGGGTCATGCGGCCGTGGAGGGCCGTCCACTTACTTCCTTTCCTCCTGCACAGAGTTGGGGTGCCTCATTTCCATCAAAGCACAGCCGAATTTCTGCAGACCGAAAGAGGTGAGTGACATGTCAGGAGTGTATTATTAAAGCTGGGATATGCTCAGGCCCGAGGGCTGGGGTCCTGGCTGGAAAAAGAGGAGTCTGATGCTCGGGGGCCCGGATGTCCGAGATGGTAAGATGGCGAGGGGCTCGGCAGGGCAGCAGTGCTTGCGCTGCAGACGCACACGGGAGGGTCAGCTGCTTAAAGAACTGCAGAAGTGGACTCTGACCCCCAGCACACCAAGCCCCTTGGTGGCGGCTTTCTCTCTATAAAAATATTGTCCCCAGTTCTCTCATCTGGAGCATCAAGCTCCAGGGGACACCCAGCTCTTGGTTTAAGCATCCATTCCAAAGAAGCAGCTCACTCAGATGACAGCCATTTCACTAGGAACCAGCCAGGCCCTGGGTACCAACAGACAGAGGACTTGGAATTGTCCCATGTTGGCCACATTGAAACCACTGTCTTTGAGGCCCTGGGAGGATGTGCTACTGAACAGCAGGTGCTACGGTAGCCCCTCTTTCTTCCTGCTGATGGAAACACGTGCTAGAACAGGTGAACACTCATCTTACCTCCCCATTTTCAGGGGGGTCTCCATTGCCAAAGGTGCTGGTGACCACCAGGACCAGCGTTTCATGTTCCAGGTGCACAATGTCATAGTCTTCCATGGATATCACCTAGGTGGGAGGGGGGGCAAAGAGGGGGCAGGAAGGAAGAGGTGATGAGGAGAGAAGGTGGGAGAGAACAAGAAGTGATGGGGGAAGGAGGAGGAGGAGGAGGAAGAGGAGGAGGAGGAGAAGCAGAAGATGAGTCATCTTGAGCCCTCTCCTTTGGAAGAACCAAATGTGTGGGGTGTCGCTATTTCAATGAGTAGACCTGCAAGCCTCTGGCAGGGTGGGACCTCCTATGGTCACTGTGGCCTGGAGGCCGTAGGGAATCTGAGAGATGGCGCAGGGGGTGACTGCCAGTAGAGACAGGTCCTAATGGAGACCCTTCAGCTTTTTAAAACCAACTGATCTTGGAACCTCCTTGACCACATCTAGGCTGGGAGTGACCTGGCCGACTGGGTCTGACCAACGGCTGCTCAGCCTCCTTTCTAGCCTCCCTCCAGCAGGGTGGATGGCTGGGCCAAACCAGTCTGAGAGGCCTGCTTTGGGGAAAGATTGTTGCCCTGTATCCTAGCATCGCTCGAGAAACATTTTTCAACGGAGCTTCTAGGGAAGCCCAGTCTCTGGAGATGCTTCCCAAAAACAAGTGAGCCATAAACAAACATGTCTGGGGAATATTTACATTCTCCGCCCTCCTCTTTTGGAGATGATAACACAGACGTGCAGACTAAAGGCTCTGACAAGTCCTGCAGCAAAGAAACCCACTGAACTTTATTTAACGCAGAGCTTCTTAAACTGACTCCAGAACGGATGTTCATAAAACCCTCTAACACAGTGGTTCTCAACCTTCCTAATGCCGCAACCCTTTAATACAGTTCCTCATGTTGTGGTGACCCCAATTTCATTGTTACAAATTGAACATTATTAAAGCATAGTGATTAATCACAAAAACAATATGAAATTATATATATGTTTTCCAATGGTCTTAGGCGACCCCTGTGAAAGGGTCGTTCGACCCCCAAAGGGGTTGCGACCCACAGGTTGAGAACCACTGCTCTAACAGTTTCCTCTAGATCTGGGGGTTTCATTTTGTGATTCCTGGACCCCTGGGGGGTTTGCAGAGAGAGGGACATCACCGTCCCCTGGAATTTATGAAAATGTGAGCGTGTGTGCTGACGGCCAACTTGGGATGTGCTTTCATCCATTCTCAAAGGGTTCTACTCTGTGGACTTCCCTCGCTCCCCTCCCCACTTTAATCACCAGGAGGGGCTGGAGAGCTGGCAGTGCCCCTACCCACCTTGGCATCGAAGGCGTGCTTGAAGATCTCACACAGGGTTTTGGCATAGGCCTGCGATTTACCCGTCTCTGTGCCATACAGGATGGTCGCCTTGACCCTCTTGGCCATTGCCTGCCCCATCAGCTTGGCCGAGAACTTGACGGCTCTGGGAGGAAGGGGAGGGAGAGGACCATGGGAAATGCCAGGCTGGGACTATTGGGCAGAAGCATGATCCATGACATTAACCAGAGAGAACTTACTCTCCTGATCTTTATGGCCTCCGGGAACTCAAAGCCTGAGTTTGGGCACCATTTGACCCCTTTAAGTCCCTCCAGAGCAACGAGTCATGAGCTGAAATGGTTGGTTAACTGTGTTGGGTTGTTCATGGATCAATCCCAGTCTTGAGGACCTTGCTGTGCCAAGCACTGTCCCCAAAAGATAATCATTCATTCATGCACTCATTTGTTCATCCATCAAATGTGTGTTAACCACTAATGTGCAGGAATTGTGATAGAAGCTGAAGAACATAGAGAATGTAGCTGTGGACAAGCAGCTGTGATGGGGCTTACATTAGTGTGTGTGTGTGTGTGTGTGTGTGTGTGTGTGTGTGTGTGTGAGAGAGAGAGAGAGAGAGAGAGAGAGAGAGAGAGAGAGAGAGATCACTAACAAATCACTAGGTATTGAGCTCAAAGGGATTTCAGAAGTGAAGGCCCAGGTCTGGTTTAGTCAGCCGTGCATATCTAGGGTCTTGCACAGCTGATGCCTAATAGGCACTAAATACATATCTAGCAAAGGAATGAATTTTAAAGATGCTGCTACCACTGAAGACGTGGGGAGTTCAAATGTCAAGTCTAGGCCCTTTGTAGTTAAATGGAGAGTCCAGAACCACTGTTCTTCCTTCCCGCCCATGAGGTCCTGGGTGAGGCAGCCAGGCCAGAGGCCCAGGAACGCCTGGGCTCACCTCAGAGCAAGCATCCCTGCTCTAACAGGCATCTCCGAGCAGACAACTTGCTAATTACTCCTGCTGGGGGATTATTGGTGGTAAATTCATCATTTTTTAGAATCAGGGAAACCACCCACGCTGCAGGAGCACTTGGGCTAAGGGGTAGAAATAGAGAGAAATAAAAGGTGCCTGGAGGGTTCCCTTTGAATGATGGGAGCATAAAAAAGCAGCTATAATTAACTTCCATTGTTTCTAGCTCCATCTTAATAGTGCAGTTAATGTTTTAGATTCCCCCCTTCTTCCCCCGCCAGACAGCTGAACTGAAGGGAAGCCAGGGGCTGCCTTCCCTGAGAATATTTGTGATCTCTCATTAGCGAAAGAAGGGCTGCTGAGGTGCCCTTGCTTGGCTGGAAGACGGGGTTAGGTGGAAGGAGAGAGGAGGGGAGAAAGGGAGAGAGATGCCATGGGCTGTATTAACAGAGCCAGCACCCAGGGTTGAGTCCCTGCAAGACCCACCAGTGTCTTGCTTCTGGGGTCTGTGGCATGGATGGCACCAATTGTTTTATTTTTATTTTTTGCAGCTACCCCCCATGCAGAGAGAGTTCTGGACCTGAGGGCGCTCAGGAAAGAGAGTGAGGAGCTCAGTGCATACTTAGCTCCTCTGCCAAAAAGTAAGTTAGTTCTGAACAGGGGTGTCTCCGAGAGCCCGCGGAGCTCTTTCTTAGGAGAAGCCTGGCATCCCCATTAGAGCATCTCAGGTGGCTCCACCCCACTTGACAGCTGCCCCCTTGGCTGGCTACATGTTCTTTTTTATTTTTCAAAATGCTTTTATTGATTTTTAGAGAGAGAGGGAGAGGGATAGAAAGATAGTTCTGGGGTCTGTGGCATGGATGGCACCAATTGTTTTATTTTTATTTTTTGCAGCTACCCCCCATGCAGAGAGAGTTCTGGACCTGAGGGCGCTCAGGAAAGAGAGTGAGGAGCTCAGTGCATACTTAGCTCCTCTGCCAAAAAGTAAGTTAGTTCTGAACAGGGGTGTCTCCGAGAGCCCGCGGAGCTCTTTCTTAGGAGAAGCCTGGCATCCCCGTTAGAGCACCTCAGGTGGCTCCACCCCACTTGTCAGCTGGCCCCTTGGCTGGCTACGCGTTCTTTTTTATTTTTCAAAATGCTTTTTATTGATTTTTAGAGAGAGAGGGAGAGGGGTAGAAAGACAGAAACATCGATAAGAGAGAAACATCATTGATTGGCTGCCTCCTGCACACCCTCTACTGGGGATCAAGCCTACAATTCAGGCATGTGCCCTGACTGGGAATTGAACTGGTGACCTCTTGGTTCCTGGGTTGACACTCAACCACTGAGCCAGCCACAGCAGCTGGGCTGGCTATACGTCAGGACAGTTATGCTTTGGTGGCCTTGGTCCATAACCCCCTTCCCGCCCTTCTGTGCTCAGTTAGGACTTATTCATCTTATTCTTCAGCTCAATTGTCATCTCCTGAAGGAAGCCCTCTTTGACCTCCTAAACTCAGTTAAGTCTGTTCTTTGGCACCATGGATCACTCCTCGAGGGCACTCGAAGTGCTGACTGTATTTGTGTGGTTCTCTGACAGATGAATGGCTGTGAGCTTCAAGAGGGCAGGGACCACATTTGCCTGGCTCATGATGGCTTCCCGAGAGGCTAGTACAGTGCCTGGCAGGGAGTAGGCTCTCAGTATCCATTTGTGGGCCAAATGAATGAATGAATGAATGAAATTAGAGTTCAGCCCTGGACAAGAGCACTGTTGGCAGTGATGTTCTGGACCCAGCTCATCCCAGCTCCTCTCTACTACGGGTTCAGTGACTTCCTGTTGGTAGCTTAAAACTGGCCATAATGGGAGTATTTACACTATGGCGATTGGCCAACATTACAAATCTACTATTATTTTTACTTTTAATATTATTATTAGGAAAGCTGCTTTACCAACATACCACTGCCTCCGGGAAAAGAATTTAGGAAACTGGGTGAGGAAAGTAAAATCGGGAGGGAGAAGAACTGTGGCGACATTTACATCCCAGACTCTGAGGCAAAGAAGGCACGAGGGGGCGAGAGAAAGTAGAGAAATCTTATTGCGCTAGAGGTCAGAGGCATGACTAGCTGCCTGGCTTCCTTTTGGAGGGCTCTCCAAGTTTCGGGGCACATCCATCCCCCACCTACTGCAGGAGACTTACTCTGCCAGCTTCTTGAAGCCGATGGCTCGCCGCTTGGTGGGGGTCCCGTTGGTGCCTTTCCAGAGGTGGGTGTTCCAAGGGTCCGGCTGGGAAGAAAGGACTGCGGTTACTGCGGTTACTGCGGTGGGGGAACCTGGCTCCCCTGGAAGGTGCTCAGGATCCTGGGGGCTGTGGCTGCCCAGCCATGCCCAACCCGCAGCCTTGAAGGGAGTGATTCTGCGAGTGATGACCACAGGGGTCCTGGCACAGAGCGGCTGGCCCAGCCGTTCTGCACTGTCCTGCTAGACCAGCAGTTCTCAATCTGTGGGTCGCGACCCCTTTGGCGGTCGAACGACCCTTTCACAGGGGTTGCCTAAGACCATCCTGTATATCAGATATTTATATTACGATTCATAACAGTAGCAACATTACAGTTATGAAGTAGCAACGAAAATAATTTTATGGTTGGGTCACAACATGAGGAACTGTATTTAAAGGGCCAGAAGGTTGAGAACCACTGGGCTAGACCTTCCCACGCAGCCCTCAGTCCCTCCCAAAGACTTTCCTTGAGACCCCAGACGACTCATTTAGTCTCCAGGAATCTCTCTGCTAGAGCTGCGTTGTCCAATATGGTAGCCGCTAACCAAGCATGGCTACTGAGCACCTGAGTGTCCAAAGTGCTCGTCTGAACTGAGACGTGCTCTCAGCATCACACACACAAGGCTACCGAAGACTTAGCGCGAAGAGGCAGGGAGGGGCCGGACCTGGTATTCGAAGGAGGGGGTGAGCCGGTAGTTGAGCATCTCCTGGTGGAAGACAGGGGTGATGCTGCCAGACATGGGGGGTACGATCCACACCCAGTCTGCCGGACAGCCCCCCCGGCAGCGGTATTCGTTCTCCATGTGTTTAATGAAGGACTCGGTGGCCGAGTGGTGGTCGACGATGGTCACTTTGTCACTCTGTGGGTGGAGAGGGAACAGGAGTCAGGAGGTAAGAGAGCCGGGGCGTTTCCGGATTCTCCCAGAGTGGCGTTTCCCGAAGGACAGGTCCTGGAGATGGTTTAGTGCCCAACACTTGTGTGCATTTCTCCTTCTGACTGTACCCGGGAGAAAGTCTCCGTTTGCTGCTAACAGGCCTCTCTAGCGAGTCTTCCTCTCTCCTCCCCCATCCTTTTTCAAACGAACCTCTTACGTAGCTAGAATGGAACAACTCCGTTTTGTTAGTCCTTGTATTTGTTTATTTATTTAAACTAACAATTCTCTTCTATTTAAGGCAACTGATCTTGGCTCTCCGTTTATGGTGGGGAGACAAAATCCTGTCTGTCAGCTGATAGTCTGAGTCCCTAAGCAACACATGGACGATACCTGACATCTCAATTCTGAAAAACCACAGGTGACAAGTCACAACCCCCACCCCGCCCCCTACTGGTCATCTCTTCCTCAAACGTCCACACTCAAGATCAACACGGAGAGGCAGGCATGTACGATGGGCGATAGACCTCGCTGGTGGACAGATCTCCCCAAAGGTGGTTCCTGGCAGCGAGGGCTCTTGGACTTTTTGCTCCAAGGCTCTGAAAGGTTCAGTTCCTCCCCGAGGCTTGATGGCCGGGACCCCAGCACTACCTGGAAGCTGTAGAGAACTGCAATGTTGATCTCCACCAGCGCCTGGTCCTTCCACAGGGAGGACGTCTTCCTCGTGTCCAAGTTCATCTTCTTGGCCACTTCCTGCAAGAAGAAGGGAACACAGACTCTCAGGCTGGGACACTTCAGACGAAGGAGGGGCAGGGCTAGCTCGTGTCATGAATGAACGTCTTAATTATCAGTCAGCTCACTGGCAGAGCGAGTCACTCCCTCTGAAGATATCTTACCGAGGACCTACCGGTGGTGGGAAACTAGAGACGTGGCTGGCCACTTATTATTGAGCAGAACTTGTAGTGGGAGAGAACAGTTTATATTGTGATCAGTGCTAATTCCTAGGGAGAAAATAAGACGAGGATATGGGATGAGGAGGGATATGGGGCAGGGTTCACTGAACCATGATAGTCAGGACAGGCCCACGTGGAGGGGGCATACCCGGTGAGACCCCAATGAGGAGGAAAAGCAAGGCATGTGCAGATGGAGGGAGGCGAGGGTCTCGGCAGAGAGACAGCACGTGCAAAGCCCCCGAGGAGGTTCAGACTCACAGCATCTGAGATACAGAAAGAAGGGCAGTGCACGCGGAGGGTGGGGAGCCAGCGGGAGTTAGTGAGAAGGGCAGGATCTTAAAGGATGTGCCACGGAGCCGGGATTTTTATTCCAAATGTAACGAGGAGGGTCTTCGCAGGGTTTTAATCAGAGATGTGGGCCTGGGAGTGACATCGTCTACTTCCTAGTGGGAAAAGCTCTCCACCCAACCTGCTCCACCCCTGGAGTGGCCACTACTTGTAATCTAGACCATGGACGTTTTGAGCTTGACTGACTCCATCTGACAGATGAGGAAACTGAGGCTCAGAGAGGTGCCTGGATTTGCTCGACTTCTGTAGAGCCAGTTGGCCTCAGAGCTGGAGCCCAGGGAGATGCGTACTGCCCAGAACCTGGGAGCTGCTCCCCAACCAGCTGGCGTCTCTGGCAAAAACAACCCCTGATGTTTGTTACAGCTGAAGCAGGAGCTGATGTCAAGGGTGAGGAAGACCCAATAGCAAATGCACTAATTAGAGCCTTGCTTTTCTCTTACTCTGTCAATTCTAGTCACTCGTGGGAACCTGGGTCTCATTATGGGGCTAGAATGCGACAATTTCTCAGCTTTGGGTAAATCGCTTCCCAGCCTCAGCTGTCAACCTTTGTACAGAGTGGCAGCTGGAACTGGAGGCAGGGGTGGGAGGGAGTCTCATTTAAGTTACCCAGTGACTACTCGATGCAGTCGAAATGCACGCAAGATCACGGAGGCGGACTTACTGATTCACTCTTTGGGGCTGAAGCGTTAGGTTCTGCTTGGGGCCTTTGGGCAGCGACACAAATGCAGGAAGTAAAGAATTTGCTGCTTTACATAAGTACATATAAAGCTCGAGTTATTATATAAAAGAGGAGAGGTGTCTAGCCAGTCATGCTGCTACTGTTACTTCTACAGCATTATTTTGGTTAACAAAAGAGAAATTAGTTGCAGGAAAAAAACATACCTCTACAACTTAAAAAAAAATCCCCAAATGTGACTCAAGGCATCTCTATGAACATTAACTAAACTGTCTTTTCCTTTCTTGCCAGAAGTCTGTACAGATCGGTGGCTGCCCCAGTAGAATCTTCTAGGGCCGTGGTCGTCAAACTGCGGCTCGCAAGCCACGTGCGGCTCTTTGGCCCCTTGAGTGTGGCTCTTCCACAAAATACCACGTTCGGGCGCGCACGTACAGTGCGATTGAAACTGTGGCCCATGCGCAGAAGTCGGTATTTTGTGGAAGAGCCACACTCAAGGGGCCAAAGAGCCGCATGTGGCTTGCAAGCCGCAGTTTGCCGACCACTGTTCTAGGGAGATGTGAAAAATGCTGATGCCCTCCCCCTGTAGAGCAATTCCATCCAAATCCTGGGGGGTGGGGTCTCGGGCATCGCTGTGCTTCCCTGGCAGTTCCAGTGGACGGCAAGGCTGAGGACTTGGCTTCTGTCTTCCAGGCGAACAACCATGGAGTTTGTTTTTAAAAGTGAGATATAACTGACACATGATGTGCACATTCAAGGTGTACAAAGTTCAAGGTGTTGGTTGGGTACAGTTATATATTGCAATATGATTATCACTGTAGCATTAGTTAACACCTGTAAGTAATTATTGTGGTGAGAACAATTAAGATCTAGTCTCTTAGAAACTTTGAAGTTTATACTAGAGTGTTGTTGATTATAATCTTGATGCTGTGCTTTAGATTTCCAGAAATTATTTACCTGTACGACTAAAACATCTCCCCAATTCCCATGCATCCCACCCCCACAACCACCATTCTAACTCTCCGATTTCACCAGAGAGCAGAATCCACACAGAAGCGAGATCATCCCGTCTTTGTCGTTGTCTGTCTGACTGAGCTCACGTGGCCTAATGCCCTCAAGGGCCATCCATGTGAACACCTACGGATTTCAGCCACAGACACCCAATGCCTGGTTCTGAGGTCTAATCCTGACTCCACCTTAGTTACTGTGTGACACAGGCCAGCGCTTCAGCTCTCTGCTTCTCAGGGGCCTATTTTGAAACAAGGCCAGCGACAGCAGACTGTTGTCAGGAACAACGTTTGCTGACAAAACCACGGCAATCCCGAGCTTTCACCAGAGCTGGGCCCCAGGAAGCTCTCTGCCCGGCACTTTTCAGCAGATGAGGGTGACTCAGCCAGGGAGGAAATCAGACCTCCACCAAGAAATGTGTATGGGGAAAACCACGGACACTCCTCCAGCCTGGTTTTCCAGAAAAGAGACAAAAAAATGTCCCAAGTTCATCCATCATTCTCAAACCCTTCTAACAGAGTTTGACACCGGGAGGCAGTGTAGCAGCGTGGTGAACTTGGACCACAAAACCAGACTGGGGTTGCATCCCAGCTCTGCCACTTCCTAGTGGCACGACCTCGAGCTCATCATTTCATTCCTGCAAAGGCCTTAGTTTTCTCATCGGTGAGAGGGGGTTTTCTTTTAACCTGGAGGTTGTGGTGAGGATTAAATGAGCATGTTATACATGCAATGCGCTTTGAACACCGCCTAGCACCCAGTCCATACATGGTTAGTGCCACAGATGCCGCACTGGGATTGCAGGTTCTGCTGTAACCCGTTTCCAGTTTTGAAGCCCCAAAGCCTGGCTGTGGGGAAGCACTGCTGAGCCCACCCCTTCTGCCTGGTGACTAAGGAGGGTCCTCACCTCCAGGATGTTGTACCGAGAGTTGTCACAGTAGTCGCGGACGCCAATCTCCGTGCCCATGTACCAGCCGCTGAAGGGACAGGCGCTGAACTCCAGGCCGCCAATCTCCAGCAGCATGTTGGACACAGCGGGGAGGCCATACCACTTCAGCCCCAGGTCCTTGAACCACTCAAACCTGCGGAGAAGGACACAGCCCAGCTCACCATGGGGCGGGAGTCTCGGGCAGACAGAGGGTGGGATAGGCTGAGTCTGGGGATGCTGCAATGCCAGCGACTGACGGGGGCCATGTTAGAACCAGATTCCTGGGCTCTGGACACTGCTTCAGAGGTGGAGAACCACAGGTTCCAGAGCTGGGGCCCGAGAATATGCATCTTACCATGTTTCCCAGGTGGTGTGCAGGGATATCCAGGCCTGGAAACCACTGCTCGGGCTGCTGTTTATCCGCTAAGCCCACTCTGCAAGTTAGTTCTGGAGGAAGCGAGTTCCCTCCTACCCAGGGCCTTTGCACGGCCGCTCTTTCCTCCTGGGATCTCTCTTCCTCTGTGTCTGTCCAGCTCTTGTTTGCACTTTAATTCTCAGCTAAAATGTTGTTTACTCTTTTAGGAAGTCTTCCCTGATGCCCAATCTGGGTAGGGGTCAGGTGACTTCATGCCTCTAGGCACCATACAATTTCTATTGCAGCATGTTATTGGAATGAAGTTATTTGGGTAAGATCAAAACTTTAAATAAAGACAGGATTCCAGCCCTAGCCAGTTTGGCTCAGTGGATAGAGCATCAGCCTGTAAACTGAAAGGTCCCGGGTTCGATTCTGGTCAAGGGTTGTGGAAATGTAATATGTGTGTGTGTGTGTGTATATATGGACAGGATTCCATGCTGCACTCACATGACTCGCCTGGTTTGCCTCCCTCTAGCCTCAGCCCTGAACTGGATCCTGTATTTATTTAAAATGTTGACATACAGAATTTTTTTAAAAATTATTTTTT